TGGGATTCCTGCAGGGGTTTGGGGTGGTTATGGGGCTGCCCCATAGCGCCCGGACCCACAGAGAGTCCCTGACCCACATCTCTGACCCACATTTGTGACCCACATCCCAGCCCCATATCCGTGACTTTCATCCCTGACCCACATCCCAGCCCCATATCCCTGATCCACATCCCTGCCCTATATCCATGACCCTCATCTCTGACCCACATCTCTGCCCCATAGCACTGCCCCATATCCATGATCCATATCCCTGCCCCATATCCCTGCCCCATATCCGTGACCCACATCCGTGACCCATACCTGTGACCCATATCCCTGCCCCATATCCATGATCCATATCCCTGCCCCATATCCGTGACCCATATCTGTGACCCATATCCCTGCCCCATATCCATGATCCATATCCCTGCCCCACATCCGTGACCCTCATCCATGACCCACATCTCTGACCTGCACCCCTGACCCTGACCCCAGCCCCATATCCATGACCCACAATCCTGACCCACATCCGTGACCCTGACCCGCATCTCTGACCCTCACCCCAGCCCCATATCCGTGACCCTCATCCATGACCCACAATCCTGACCCACATCTGTGACCCTCCCATATCTCTGTCCCCAAACTGACCAATACACACATGGACCGTGTCCCCACACCCCATCCCACACCGACTGACCACACCCCGTACCCCACATCCCGTACCCCCACACCGACTGACCACACCCCACCCCACACCGACTGACCACACCCCGTACCCCACACCGACTGACCAAACCCTGTACCCCACACCCTGTACCCCACACCCTGTACCCCACACCGACTGACCACGGGCACTGACCACACCCTGTACCCCACACTGACTGACCAAACCCTGTACCCCACACCGACTGACCACACCCTGTACCCCACATCCCGTACCCCACACCGACTGACCACACCCCACCCCACACCGACTGACCACACCCTGTACCCCACATCCCGTACCCCACACCGACTGACCACGGGCACTGACCACACCCCGTACCCCACACCGACTGACCACGGGCACTGACCACACCCTGTACCCCATGTCCCCACACCAACTGACCAAACCCTGTACTCCACAGCAAGTGACCACAGGCACTGACCACACCCCGTACCCCACACCAACTGCCCACACCCCATACCCCACACCGACTGACCAAACCCTGTACCCCACACCGACTGACCACGGGCACTGACCACACCCTGCACCCCATGTCCCCATGCTGACTGACCACAGGCACTGACCACACCCTGCACCCCACACCGACTGACCACACCCCGTACCCCACACCGACTGACCACGGGCCCTGCCCACACCCCGTATCCCTGCCCCAAACTGACCACAGGCCCTGCCCACACCCTGTACCCCACACCAACTGACCGTGGGCACTGCCCACACCAATTGACCCTATGTCCCTACACCAGCTGACCACACCCCGTACCCCACACCGACTGACCACAGGCACTGACCACACCCTGCACCCCATGACCCCATGCCGACTGACCACACGCACTGACCACACCCTGCACCCCACACCGACTGACCACGGGCACTGCCCACACCCTGCACCCCATGTCCCCACACCAACTGACCACAGGCACTGACCACACCCCGTACCTCACACCAACTGCCCACACCCTGTACCCCACACCGACTGACCACACCCTGTACCCCATGTCCCCACACCCTGTACCCCACACCCTGCACCCCACACCGACTGACCACACCCTGTACCCCATGTCCCCACACCCTGTACCCCACACCCTGCACCCCACACCGACTGACCATGGGCACTGACCACACCCTGCACCCCATGTCCCCACACCGACTGACCACAGGCACTGCCCACACCCCGCCCGTGTCCCCGCCCCGACTGACCGCAGGCGCTGACGGTGTAGCCCTCGATGACGCACATGGGGTGGCCGAGGATGAAGTAGCCGAAGATCTGGTTGACCACGCTGATGGTGCTGGCGATGACCGTCTCGCCCAGGTCGGCCACGGCCAGGTTGACCAGGATCCAGTTCAGGGGGTGTCGCAGCTTCTTGAACTTGGCCGTGGCCACCAGCACCAGCCCGTTGGTGAACACCGAGGCCACCACCACGAAGATCATCCACAGCGACGTCAGGTTGTACACCCAGCGCGGCGCGATGTGGTAGTTGGGGCCCTCGAAGGGACCTGGGGGACAATGCGGGGTCANCGCAGCTTCTTGAACTTGGCCGTGGCCACCAGCACCAGCCCGTTGGTGAACACCGAGGCCACCACCACGAAGATCATCCACAGCGACGTCAGGTTGTACACCCAGCGCGGCGCGATGTGGTAGTTGGGGCCCTCAAAGGGACCTGGGGGACAATGCGGGGTCAGCGGTGGTGGCCGTGAGTGACCCTCGTGTCACCTCGTGTCACCTGGCATCCGCTGGGTGTGGTGGCAGTGGTGGCGGAGGCTGGTGTTGACCTCAAAATTCCCTCAGAATCTCCCTCAAAACGACCCCCTGGTGTCCCTTGGTGTCCCCTCATGTCCCTCTGTGTCCCCTCGTGTCCCCCCACATCCCACCACAACTTCACTGCGTCACTGCCATCGGTATGGGTTGGCAAACATTGATCATTGACCCCAAAACTCTTCAAAACTCCTCAAAATCTCCCTCAAAACGATCCCCTGGTGTCCCTTTGTGTCCCCTCATGTCCCTTTGTGTCTCCTCATGTGTCCCCTCATGTCCCCCCATGTCCCACCACATCTTCACTGCCATCGATACAGCTTGGCATGCATTGACTGTTGACCCAAAAAACTCCCCCAAAACCCTCCCAAAATTCCCCCGCTGTGTCCCCTCATGTCCCCTCATGTCCCCTCAGGTCCCTTTGTGCCTTTTGGTCACCCCTGATGTCCCTTCCTGCCCCTTTTGTCCCCCCATGTCCCTCCACGTCCCTTCACATCTTCACTGCGCGTTGTTGCCGTGGATGTCCATCAACCCCAAAACCCCCCAAAACTCCCCCAAACTCCCTATCCCCATGTCCCCCCATGTCTCCCCGAGTCCCCCAGTGTCCCCTGATGTCCCTCAGTGTCCCTCATTCCTGTCTGTGTCCCTGATGTCCCCAACATCTTCACCGTGCACATCTCTACTGTTGGCATACCTTCACCGCCAACTCCAAAACACCCCAAAACCACCCCAAAACTCCCCCAGACCCCTTCCCCAGTGTCTCTGCGTGTCCCTCCAGTGTCCTCCAGTGTCCCCCATGTCTCTCTGTGCCGCTGATGTCCCCAACATCTTCACCACGCGTGTCTCTACCGTTGGCGTACCTTCACCGCCAACCCCAAAACCACCCCAAAACCACCCCAAACCACCCTAAAACCGCCCCAAAACTCCCCCAGGCCCCTTCCCCCATGTCCCCTGGTGTCCCCCAGTGTCTCCTGATGTCCCTCGTGCCTGTCTGTCCCTGATGTCCCCAACATCTTCACCGTGCACATCTCTACCGTTGGCGTACCTTCACCGCCAACTCCAAAACACCCCAAAACCACCCCAAAACTCCCCCAGACCCCTTCCCCAGTGTCTCTGCGTGTCCCTCCGGTGTCCCTCCGGTGTCCCCTGATGTCCCTCAGTGTCCCCCATGTCTCTCTGTGTCCCTGACGTCCCCAACATCTTTACCGTGCACATCTCTACTGTTGGCATACCTTCACCGCCAACCCCAAAACACCCCAAAACCACCCCAAAACTCCCCCAGACCCCTTCCCCAGTGTCTCTGCATGTTCCTCTGGTGTCCCCCAGTGTCCCCTGATGTCCCTCAGTGTCCCCCATGTCTCTCTGTGCCGCTGATGTCCCCAACATCTTCACCACGCGTGTCTCTACCATTGGCGTACCTTCACCGCCAACCCCAAAACCGCCCCAAAACCACCCCAAAACTCCCCAAAACTCCCCCAAACTTCCTCCCCCATGTCCCCTTGGTGTCCCCCAGTGTCCCCTGATGTCCCTCAGTGTCCCTCATTCCTGTCTGTGTCCCCTGATGTCCCCAACATCTTCATCGTGCACATCTCTACCATTGGCGTACCTTCACCGCCAACTCCAAAACA